GTAATTGATAACCCCTTTTGTTCCCATGAGTGGAACATTAGAGAAACCTGCACAGTGGGAGATGACTTCGGAGCTATCCACCTTAAGTTTGTACCATTGAATGTCGAAAGAGGTGAGCGTCATCACTTTTGATTCCCATGAACGGGGATCTTCTTTGAATGGCCCTTTGGTGGGCAACTGCGCCATGAACCATTTATAAAGCATTGGTATGCAGCATACCACTACTCCTTTCTATCCATGCCTGGAGTGGATGGCGTGGTAAGTATATGCTAATAGCGTAGGTATAGGATTCTTATTCATGAAGACGCACAGAGAAGCCAAGTCCATGATTTCTTTAATCTCAGGGAATAAGACAACTCCGTAAATAATGGCAGCCAACAGAGCATAATAAGCATCCCAATTTCCAATATTCTCCATTTCCTTAGCCTTACTTGCCAAGAAATCTGTAGGAAGACCGGAAGTGACTTTGTTGCGTCTCCATTTTCCTTTTACATCATTAAGGCTCAAATAAAGAACCTTAGCAATAGCCTCAAAATCAGGTTCAATAGGGATTTGAACAAATGGAACATGGCCGGTGAGCTTAATGTGGAGAAGATGAGCATACTCCTCAAGAGTAGGTGCTAACTGGTAGTCTTGGAATGTGAAGCATCTCAACTCTGGATCATAAAATTGTAACAACGTCTGTACAGCCTTGTCATTAACCCGAGCATCCAACAAAGATAGGAGATTCCCATATCTTTCACCAAAAACGCCCATTTGTTGACAATTCATGAGGTCTCTGAGCTCTTCAAGAGAGGGCCAAGTACTAGGACGAAATTAATAGCTGAAGTTATCCCTCTTTGTCTTCGGGGTGACATCAGTGTTGTTCGCCATTCTTTAGAGGAAAAGGAAACCCTGGATAGATCCTGGAAATGACAATGCGTATGCGAATTAATTATTGACATATATATATATATATATATATATATATATATATATATATATATATATATATATATATATATATATATATATATATATATATATATATATTGAAAGGTAAATATGCCATGATGTGTGTACAAGTGATCATGGGGTTACTACTTCCATGATATTGATTTCTGTTGTACTGCCTCTTTGTATCCTTGCCAATACCGAGATTACAGGTCTGAAACGTAACTGGAAGAGGTCCATGAAGATCAAAGATAAGTCCTCAGAAAATAAATCTGAGAACCTCATATTTGTTGGCAGAAATGCAGGACATAACCAAAAGTAGTTGTCTGAATATAGTCAACAACTATACCTGTAATGATAAATCCCTCCCTACTCACGTGTGAGGACTAGGTCAGGGTGAGATAATGGTAACTCGAAAATCATGGGTCCGCCTGAAAGTAAAATCATCACAACACAGACGTGCATGATGAGAGTACCTTCAATTGAACCTCATCCGAGCGTGGTATATGACATGACTGCACTAATCGAACCACATCCTATAGCCGTCATGCCCCCACTCTATTCCTAGGTGTCCTAGTGCACTCTGGCCTGGGTACTGGGCCTTTTACCTCAATAGTAACATTCCCACCCAAGCAAGAAGCAGATACAATACAACAACAGTATATATAAGACAGTAAAGTGTAATACATGCATATGCACCAGAAGAAAAGAAAGCAAGAGCTAGGAGCGACTCCGGGCTGGACCAGCATTTGGTCGACAAAGATTTCCCCAGTGAAGTCTCCAACTGAAACAACCGGCTGAAAATCATCAAACAATAAAGTCGCCATTGGATGTCTTTTATCCCACAAGAAGGGAAAGGTAAACGTCGAAAAAACCTGAGAAGGGTGAAATCAAGGTCGAACGACCAAGAGATGAGGGTAAGGGAGTCTGTTACGCGAGGGGAAGGTATTAGCACCCCACACGCCCGTAGTACTCTACGGTATCCACTCCTGTTATCTATCTTATGGGTGTGTTTAATCTATGCTTACTGTTTATTATACTACTGAGGGGAGAATGCACGCAAAAGAAAGGAGAAAAGAATGTAGGGAAAATAAAATTGTTCTCGTTCGGGCCCTACCCCGATGCCTACGTATCCCTTTTAAGGAATCAGAGCAACCGTAGTTCGTCTTATATGTTTTTGTTTGTTTGTATTTTTTTATGAACAACATTAATTTCGCCTTCTGCCGCAACTCGACCTTCGGAGACACGCGTCAGCACAGAAGTGAATTAACATGTTCTTTTGGAAAAGGTTTGGAGAAAATGTGCTTGGGCGCACAAAAATTTGAATTTGGTTTAGGTTTTTAATGAGCGATATTAATTTCTCCTTCTGCCGCAACTCGACCTTTGGAGACTTACGCGTCAGCACAGAAGTGAATTAATATGCTCTTTTGAAAAGGTTTTGCAAGGAAGGCCCAAAGGCAAAAAGAATTTTTTGTTGGTTGGTATTTTTGCTTGTAGATAACAGCTAATTAATCTCAAGAGAGAGATTTTAGTCATTTCTCCACTTATTCATGAAATAAGTCTTTGAGACTTGAACCATACCAAATCTTAGAATAAGAGAATAATAAGGTCGAGAAGAAACCCGTTTATCATCTCTCATACTTAACAAATCTATGATTCTCGTCAGTAAATTTTTTTAGTATTTTGAAGTTTGTAAAAAAAGGAATTTTGTTTTAAATGCATACGCGAAAAGAAAAAAGAAAAGTCAAGGGGAGACTAGCCTATTTCTAAACCTAATGTTATCATGCGTTGTTAGACCTAAGTCAAGGGTGAATGAAAGGGGAACGTCTACCTAATGTTAGCATGCATGGATTTAGAATTCTAATGTCTAATTTTGGTTCAATTAAATCGAAGATTAAATGCGAACCAAAATATCCTAAGGGGTCATGAAAGATTATACAAACAAGTAAAATTAGTAGCAAGTATTAAAATATTGCACACGATTCATACTAAAAGATTGCAGACAAAATACACGATACAAAAATGAATAACACTAATGATTTAGATTGGCTAAAAGGTTAGCGAAAGAAGAAATATATTCCTAATTAATTTCTAAAAATTCCTTCTAATATTTTTACCGTTTTTTATTGGTTTTGATTACAATTTTTCATAACAAAAATCTAAAAAAAACTTTAAAAAAGTCCTAAATATTAAGTAAAGGAGTATCAGGGGGTGCAAGCCAAGATTCAAGGTGTGTGGTCCAGCAAAATAAGAGCAAGGCTCATGCAATAATGTCCTAAACCAATTTTTGTAGAAACTTCCAAGGCCTTTAGTGTCAAAAATGCACAGAAACGGGCCTAACGGGAATGTGTGGTTCCGTCCACCCATCCACTACCAACACAATCCAACACTTGTTCAGCAATGTTCCCTTATTTATGCATCAGTTTAATACTTAAGAAAACAAAAGAAAAATTAAAAAGGAAAATTGAAAATAGATAGGAGAATAATGTGTATGAAAGGGAAATTAGGGTTGAAATTGTGGCTCTTGGAATTTCAATGAACACATATATCTCTCCTCTCTTCTTCACGCAGCGGCGCGCCACTCATCTCCGGCCAAAAACACCGTCGTCCTTCCTCAAACTTCTCACCTTTGTTTGTGATTTTTCCTCTTTAACCTATGTCTCCTTTCATTGCTTCCATCCAACTTCACATCTCCACCGTCCGATTCGCCCTCATCTCTGTTTATCATCTCACTCAAACACCGTGCTTCATCTCTCCGATCGTGATCTTCCTTTTTCCCAATTTCAACTCAAATTCACATATTCAGAAAAATATCCAAATCCGGAATTATGAATGAAAGATGAAGGTGCGAGATTATCGGATTTCAGTCACATTTGAATAATCATTCAATCAAGTTTCATGCGGGATGATGAAAGTAAGATATTCAGGAGTTACCTATCGAAGATCGTCCGATGCGATTTCGATGATGGCAATGATAAGAAATAGAAAACCAGAGGTGTAGCGGATATTCCAGGTATTGCGTCTCTGATTCTTTCACTTTCTCCCGATATTTCTTTTCTTCTTCTTTTGAAGGTTATTCATACTTCTCGCTCTTTTCCCTTTTTGTGTGTTCGGCTTCTTTCTGTGCTTTGCAGAATAGGGAGAATTGTAGGTTGTTGCTGCAGAGAGATTGGATGAAGAAGTTGCAGAGTTAGAGAGGTTAGGATGAAGTTGAGTGATGAAATTCTGGTTGAAGGAGTGAGGAAGAAGTATGATGAAGATGATGAAATAAGAACAGTGATGATGTTGGTGAGACCAAAAGAAAAAACTCAGAGAGTGCAGAGAGAGATTTGAGATTTTTTTCTAGTGATTTATGGAAGAATGAATCATGATCTGAAGAATGAAGATAGAGGCTCCTTTATATAGATAAAGATGATTGTCTGAGCCATTGGATCCAGTAGTTTCAGTTAGATATTGCAGGGTGGGGATTAATCAGTTGGAGTTCATTAAATTCTGTTGAAGTTTCTGTTATGGGCGGTTCAGAGGTTAGTTGGTTGTTAGAATTCTGTTAGAAAATTCTGTTATGTAGGTTGTTAGTAAGTTGTTGGAAATTAGTTATTGGAATTAGTTGACAGTTAGAGGGTCTGTTATAGGTGTTGGAATTCTGTTAGAAAGTTTTTGGTTAGAAGTTTAGTTACCAAGCTGTTGAGCTGAGTTGTTAAACTAATTTTCTACTTTCCAACCTACTATGTAGGGCCTAACAGGTGGATGATCTAAGAATTTCCTCCTGGGAATGAGCCTTTTGCTTTGCCTAGACAGCTGTAATAAGATATTTTTGGAGTAGCTTTGGAACGTTCAGCTGAAGATGCCAGCTTCCTCATCATATGTGAAATGTAAATTTCTTTTTACTCGGCTGAAATTTCTAATGCCTTTATGGTTTCTCTTTGAAGTTTGTGATGAATCATCAGGATCCTTGTCAATAAGTTTTTTTCTGCAATTTCAACCCCTAAGTCAAGATTTCTGTGTAAACGACATGCAGAAAATAAGGTGCTTAACAGCTGAACGTCATCCCTGATTTCAGGGTTTCTTTATAGAATCTCATATGCTTCGTGCAATCTTCCAGCACGTCCAAGAAGAGTAGTCAAGCATGAATAATGTTCAACTCTAGCCGCAATACCATGAACATTGATCATTTCATTGAAATGATACAATCCATCATCAACCAATCCAGCATGGCTACACGTAGGCAATATGGCAAGAAAAGTAACTCTATCAGGTTTTACATTCGACAGCAGCATTTTAGCAAAAAGCTCTAAAGCTTCATAGACCCGACCATGAGACCCGTAAGCGGTAATCATGGAAGTCTAGGAGACCAGATCTCTTTCTGGAAAATATTTGAAAGCACCAAATGCTTCACCTACAACACCACACTTTGCATACATCTCAAGAAGAGCCCCCATAACCACTTCATTGTTTCCCAAATTTCTCTCAACAATCAAATTGTGGATCTCTCTACCCTTTTCTAGTGCCGCTAGTTGCGAACAAGCTGCTAAAACACTGGCGAAAGTAATAGCATCTGGTTCAACAGATGATTGTCTTATTTCACTGAAGAGGTTAAGTGCTTCAAAAAGTTTCCCTTCAGTTACATATCCAGAAATCATAACATTCCAAGAAACTGGCGTTGTCTTCGGTATCAATTTAAAGATGTTTTCGACTGACTCAACCTTTCCACATTTGAAGTATAGATCCATGAGTGAGTTGTTAATAAAAATATCAGGTTGTATTCTGTTGCGTATTATATATCCATGAACAAACTTTCCCTCTAGTAATTGCACTGATCGTGAACAAGCCATTAATATACTGCTCAAAGTAGTCAAAGTTGGTTTGACTCCTTCATTGTACATTCTCTTAAAAAGTTGAACGCATGAAAAGCAGTCGCCTTTAAAACCATATCCTGTAATCATGGAATTCCAAGAAACAACAGACTTTTTAGGCATTTGCTCAAAAATTTCTATAGCCATTTCTAAGTGACCGCATTTTCTATACATGTCAACAAGGGCAGAGCTAACAAAAGAATCCATCCAAAACCCACTCTTAATCAACTCCTTATGAATTTCCCTCCCTCTCTCCGAATCAAAAAGCCTAGCACAAGACGAAATAGCAGTTGTGATTGTAACTGAATCCGGCTCAAATCCATATCTTCTCATCATGCCAAAGTATCTCAAAGCTTCTTCAAATTTCCTGCTTTGATAATAACAAGAAATCACCGTATTCCAACATGCCACATCCTTATCAGGCATTTCATCAAACAATTGTATAGCATACTCAAACGAATTGCATTTAGCATACCTACTCACAAGAGAACTTCTAACTACAATATCCACCATTAAACCAGTTTTTATCAAACAAGTATGTACCATTTGTCCCAACACAACTCTACAAAGCCCGCCGCATGCTTTAAGAACACTCGGATAAGTATAGCTATCAGGTTTCAGATAAGGATAACACATCAACTTATCAAAAAGTCCCAAGGCTTCCACATACATGTAATTCTTAGTGTAACTTGCCATAAGGCCATTCCATAAAGATATCTCACAAGGGTTTTCAATGGCATCAAAAACACGCTTGCTTCTTTGTATCTCATCTTTTGCATTCCAAGAAACCCTTATGATTAAGGTCTCCAAACTCGCTTGAATCAAATTCTCGAAAATAAACCAATGTTTAGACTTCTTTAGTACCATTTGATTATCCTTTAAGCACTTCACTTCATGACTCGGTGAACGAATTCCAACCAACTTGCATATTCAATGAACTAGTCCTGAACTCAAGACATGTCATAACATTCAATCGAATCAATAATATTCATGCATGAACTCAGTCCAGACAACAACCTCTCCATATCGCAATTTCCCAAAATCAAAGCCTTTATTCATGTTTGTCTAACTCAATTAGCACTCTCCTGCGTCATATCTTATATTGTGCTTCAAATTTTGTAATTCAAGTCACAAATATGTCTATTTGAAAATGTAAGGCTAAAATCCTTAAGAAATTTCCTTGAAGATGATACTTCCTGTCGCACAATATAAGGCTCTCTGAGAAAGTCCCTTGATAAACAAACCCTAATCTCATGATCTTCGACGAAAAACCCGATTGGACCATAATTACCGAAAACCTGGCTTTAATCGCATATAGGAAAATAAACCATGATAGCCTTGTATCTTGATGAAGAAAGAAATTCTCAACGACCCGGGTCACAACCCTAATTCCACTGCCCTCTTCCTGAATAAGAAATCAGCCTTTATCGGACACGAACACCTTAATCATTACGAAACCCTAATATCGCACAACCACTGAACTTTGAACCTTAGGCTCTTTATTGAATGAAAATGTATGTTAATGACCTAATGGAATATATACAGATGAATGCAAGAGTCTAAGCCAGATAAAAGAAATTAGGAGGGCAAATTTTGGGGTGCAACAACCATCAAAGCAAGAAAACCTGTTAACCAGCAACAAAAATCTCAAACCATGAACCATTAGCAAGCTTCAAACACAAAACCTGTGAACGAAAACTAGTAACCATCACAAAGATCTCAAACCAAACCTATAAAACCTCAAAATAGCCCATCACTAAACCAAGCTTCAAACGTACCAAACCAAAAAAAAAACTGTTAACCATCAAAGAATCTAAAACCAAAACACAGTTGACAAGCCTCAAGCCAAGTTACCAAAACACAGTTGACAAGCCCAAAGCCAAGTTACCAAAACACATTTGACAAGCCTCAAGCCAAGTTAACAGAACAAGTACCAAGCCTCCATCCAAAAAAAACCAGAAGAATAAAACCAGCAATATAACTATCACGAAAATCCCAAAACCAGAAGAACAATAACCAACATCACCATCATTCAAAGAAAACAGAAGAGATTACTGACAAATCAGAAAAGCCACGCATTCATCCTCATCTCTTCCCCTCGTGCAACTCCGGCCACCACGGAACACAATCCTCAGTCTCGTCATTCCCTTTCCTATTTCACAGAAAAAATATCCAACAGGTATGATTTTCTCCCCTTTATCATTTTCCATAAGCGCATTTTCTGCATCTAAGAGGGCAAGGCTTAATTAACAGAAGAAAAAAAACATGACAAGATAATAAAAAATCAACGAATTTGTAAGCTTTAATAAGAACAGAAATCTTACCCCTTTAAGAAAATCTTTAGAACTCGATTAGGGAGGCGAGAGGTTCGGTGTTCCGGCAACGGAGTTTCAGAGAGGTCAGAGACGAATCAGTTTTGGGTCTCTTAGGTTTAGGACCGAATTCGACAATTAGGGTTTTAAGAATGTGAATCACAATGAGATAAGGAGTTAGCATGTTAATGGAGAGAGCGATTTTGCTCGCGAAATGAAACATGGACGAGTAGTGGGAACATTTAGAGGATTCAGTAAGATGATACAAAGATGAATGAAAGAGATGAGCTAGCGCCGCATGAGTGACAAGGGTTCTAAACCCTAACTTTGTGTTATGCTTAATTGTTGGATAATTTTGGTTTAAGAAACTTGGTTTCTGTTTTGCTAAACAAGCGTTTGGACAGCCCAGTGAACATCCCTAAGCCCATTCTCGTTTTGATAGCCATCCCCCCCCCCCCCCCCCCCCTTTGGCATGTTTTTTTGTTACAACAAACATTTTTCCTTTTGGGCCTCATCTCTAAACCCAACTTAAGCCCATGCATTTTTTTTAATTTGTTTTCTTCTTACATTCTTTTTTTGCTATGCAAATTACCAAATAAAACTTAAAATATTTTTTTTATTAATTTAGGTTTTGTAATTAATTTTTATCACTTTCTTTTTTTTAATAAATTTTTGTTTTAGATTTAATTGATATAATAAAACACCAAGAAATAATAATTTAGTTTATTTGCTTTCTTTAGATTTTACTTAAGTAATTGAAATACTAAAATAAAGAATATAATTTAATCAATTATTTTATTTTCTAGAATAGATTTTACTCTTTTCTTTTCAAGTAAATACTTAACATTTCATTTCTATATTTTGTTGATTTTATTTTCATGGATTATCATAGCTTTAATTAAATCGCCCAAAATCCGATTTGGTTGTATTGTTTGCTATTTGGATTTTCCTATCTCATTTAATTCATCTCCATTTGCAAAAATTGTACCCCCATTCACGAGTATTTTGTAATAGCGTAGAATTTCAATTTCTGCAATTTACTGTTTTCCTTATACTGTATAGTAACTAAGCATGTATGGCAAGATTCAAAAATCAATCGCTAGATGACCTAATCAAAGAATAAAATAACTTGAAACCAATACACTTTTTCACACGCGCACCTCTAGGGTAACCTCGCTCGTTGCCTTGGAAATACAATCATGTCCCCCGAATATGGGACACTTTAGCAATGACCCTTCGATAAAAAAGATCGTAGTCCCTCGATGACCCTCGATGTTGCCTTCGATAAAACGATCTCGTCCCTTACAAAAATTGGTAAAGCGTCTCATAAGTTGCTTTCGATGATTGTAAAATTGACTCGCGCATGTCCCTTCACATCCAACGGTGGGGCTTCTTATCAAATCAATGGTAAGGTAACACCATTAAAAGGAAGAAGAAAAGAACAATTTAAGACCTTTCGAGTAGATAGATTCGCTCTTAGTTACTCGCTTGCTCACGATAAAAAACTTTTACACCTACACTCCTATTTCAAAACATTTTCAAAAGGACAAAACATTTTGTATACGTTCTTATAGAGACAAGAACCATTGCAAAACATCTTTTCAAAGCACTTTCCGAAAACACGATTCACAAACACATCTTTGAACCATTTTTAGAAACAAAACTTTGTACGCGTTCTTATAGAGACGAGAACCATTACAAAGAGATTTTTCAAAATACTTTCAAAGCCCACACCACAAGCACACTGTCAAATGAAAGCAAGTGATCTAAACAAGTAACTAAGAGCCCATGGAAAACCATGGATGAAAAGGTTGCTAATACCTTCCCTTTTCATAATCTACCCCCCGAACCCGAGAAATAATCTCGAAAGGTCTTTCCTGTGCTTTTTTACCTTTCCTTTTGGATAAAAGAAAAGTCGGTGGCGACTCTTGCTATCCGCACAAATGTGATCGAAACGCAAAACCTCAAGTCAGTTCTCCCACCGCATCACAGAACTGGGGACTTTTATAAAGGTGGGGTTACCTTAGGGATAGATCACCTTTATTTCGCTTTCACTATTTGATTTGTGTGCTTTATATTTAGTTCTTTGTATTAGGCTTACCTTGATCCTCCACCCGGATTTGGGGCACCTTTTTAGGTAAATAGCAATAGATTGTGGAGACTGTACGACATAGTGAGTCGAGGAGAATACGGGGCCGCTGAGTGGTGTCGTGAAGCACTAATTAACCTTAGAACCCTAATTTAACAAACTTGGCCATTAGGACGTAGTGAGGTAGCCGGTTTCGGTGTATAGCTGAAAATTGGTTGACACTCAATACTACACTCTTTGAGGCTAGACTTTTGGGATATCTTGGCTGCAAGAATAAATTGTTGTGCTGAGACAATGCCTAAGAGAAAGGTCGGTGATATTGAGATCCTTTAGAACCCGATCATTATTTCTAGGACAGATTGAGCCAACTAAAACTTCAAGAGGGTACTTACCTACAAACTCATGCAATCCTAAAACATAGGGATCTGTTTGTTGTGTGTGTATATGTTTGCATGTACATAAACATCATAAACATCATCAACATCATATGCATGCTCACTAACCATTTCAAGTATTTAGAAATTTATCTTTGTTTTTTTTATAGGATATGAATTCTCTCCGAAGAAACACCATCCGAATCAGCTTTGTAAAAGCTCATCCTCAACTTCAAGAGCTAGCCTCAAGAGTGCCCGGGGGTTCTCCTTTTACCAAGAAGTATGGTCGACTCCTCAGTTTGGCTACATCCAACTTCCAAGAAGAGATAATGTGTGTACTATTCCAATTCTTTGATCCCGTACATCATTGTTTCACTTTTCCGAACTATCAGTTGGTACCTACACTAGAAGAGTTTTCTCTGCTCTTAGGAGTGCCCGTGCTTAATCAGATACCGTTCACCGGTCTAGAAAGGATTCCAAAACCTGAAGTCATCGCCGAAGCTTTACATGTGAAGAGGGCCGACGTCATAGCCAATTGGGAGACAAGAAGTGGGGTTAAAGGTTTTTTAGCTAAGTTTCTGTTGGAAAAAGCTCGTTCATTCTGGGATGACATGGATTTCCAAGCTTTCGAAGACGTGCTAGCTCTCCTCATTTATGGTTTGGTTCTGTTTCCTAATTTGTACCAATTCATAGATGTTAATGCCATCAAAGTCTTTCTCTCTCGCAATCCTATACCCACCTTGCTAGGAGACATCTTGCATTACCTTCATACCCGTACCATGAAGAAAAGAGGTACCCTTTTGTGTTATATACCCCTGCTCGCTAAGTGGTTCACTTCACACCTGCCTCAGTCAGCATTGAAGAACGAGCAAAGATTGACTTGGTCTCAAAGGATGA